GCATACGTTTTTGCTGCTAATGTTGTGTTAGTGATTTCTCAATTCTATTCTTATATTCTGTTTTTGGCTCTTCCCTTACTCTTTTCTTTTTATTATTTCTTATTCTTTAATTATAATTTAATTTTTTAATTCTTTTTATTATTTATTTATTTTATTATTATTATTATTTTTTTTTTTTTAATATTTTAAGAATTATTTTAATTATGTTAGATATCTATATATATAAAAGAGAGTTGTGTAAAAGTGTCTTAGCACTTATAGCTCAAGATCTGCTGGACCAATTTTCATGGTTGTTGATTTGTTGGATTTGTCTTCGCCACGAGGCGGATCAGTAGATCTTTAAAATACTGAAAAAATTTGACGAATACTTGAAAAACGCGGTTTTTTCCCTAAAGATTCAAATTTCCATTTATACTCAGTAGCCTTGAAAACAGTGACAGTTTCGGTCCTGTATAGAAGTAAATAAACAAATGTAGTCAGTCAGTCTACGGCACAGCCTCGAGCAGACCTGACTATTCTCAAAAAAAAAAAAAAAAAAAAAAAAACAAAAAAAAAAAAAAAAAAAAAAAAAAAAAAAGACTTCAAAAAATAAAAAATAAATAAACAAACAAAAAAAAATTTTTTTCCAAATCAAAAAGAAAAATATTTCAAATCAAAAATCTGCAAAAATTCAAAAAAATCAAAAGACCTGACTGTTCAAAAAATAAATAAAAAATTCAAAATTCGAAATTTAAAAAAAATAAGTTAATTATTAAAAAGTGTATTTTTGGCTTTTTATATTTTTGGACTTTTAAACTTTATAAATATTTCAAATCAAAAATCTGCAAAAATTAACAAAAAAAATCAAAAGATTAAAACCTGACTAATCAAAAATAAATAAAAAAATTCAAAATTCGAAATTAAAAAAAAAATAAAAAGTTAATTATTAAAAAGTGTATTTTTGGCTTTTTATATTTTTGGACTTTTAAACTTTATAAATAATAATTGTGCGCGTGCGTACAAAAGCTAAATATCTCGAATGTTCAGGTATTTGTTTGTCTCAAACATAAATTTGTGTAAATTATTTATATTTATATTTCTCGATTGTTTTATATGGTTTTGTGCGAGGGCAGTATTACTATTAATAAAAATACCGCGTCCTAGAAGATCTAATCTTTCCCGGCGGACCCATAATGCAATTAGGCAACGGAATATCGCGAGTCAATTATCTGACGAAGATCGAGAAATCGCCCGAGAAAGGCTCCGCGTTAGTACCCAGCAAAGAAGGGCCTTAATTCGTGCTTCTCAAAGAGTGGCAGCCCGTGAAATGGCAATAAGAAATGGTTCAAGGATTGATTTGAATCGAGAAGCGTTTCGATATGATTGCACCATTGACTATAGCTTGAATCGTTTAGTTTGCATTGGTCCAATGGACGTTGTTTGCCAGCATTGTGGCGCATTGAAGTTTGCTGGTGAAACGCCCGGTTTGTGCTGCCTTAGTGGTAAAGTGACATTGCCATTAGTGGTCCCGCCACCAGAGCCATTGCGTTCCCTACTTTTCTAGCGAGCACTCAAAAATACAATGCCTGTTTCCAATTCGGGGCAGAGACAAATCCAACAAATCAAAAACCATGAAAATTGGTGCAGCAGATCTCGAATTATAAGTTTTGTAACAAACTCTACTTTGTTTTATATATATAGAGACTGTTAGGCGGTACGAAGTTCGCCGGGACAACTAGTAGTTAATAAATCTACATTTTAATATTTTATTTTTTAAGTTTTCTTACTAACACTTTCTTTTCATAGCTTCAATAGTATCACTGACCATATTTGGCTGTGAGACGTGGGCATAGCCGGCCGGACTGGCAAATAAAATACCCCCATCGGGTTGGTGTTACTATTGAAATTATATCCTGTAATTTGTATAGGCTTTTTTAAATTAAAATTGACTCTCGTTTTTGTCAATAGCTTTAAGAAATAAATTAATAAGGAAAATTTATTGCCTACAGTAAAGCATGGTGGAAGTGGTGTAATGGTGTGCACCTGGAGGGCGAATTTTGCTTCCAACAGGACAATGATCCGAAGCATACAGCCCACAATGTAAAGCTCTGGCTACTTTACAATGTAAAAAGCCAACTCCGAACGCCTCCCCAGTCCCCAGACCTCAATCCTATTGAGCATCTATGGGACTTACTCGAGCGTAGGATTCGGCAGCGCACCATAAGGTCTAAGAACATGCTGAAGGAGGTCATGATGGAAGAATTCGGCAAAATAACTGCAGAGGACACTAAAAAGCTGGTTGAGTCAATGCCTCGCCCTCTGACTGAGGTGTTAAAACGAAAAGGGTATCCTACAAGATACTAAGAACTAACAAATTCCAGCGCCGTACGCAACAAACTTAAACTGTACGCAGACTTTTGAGGTGTCATTTTTTGGTAATGTGTTTTGTTTATAATTTTTTTTAATATTAGGTTTAGTTTTAATAATAAAATGAAAACATAATTATGTTAATAAATAAATGAAAATTGTTTTACAAAAAGAAGTATTGCCTAAAGTCTTCTATATTAAATACAATACACATGTAAACTTAAAATTAGGGGTTTGTTTGCAAGTGTACGCAGAGTTCTGCGAGCAAGTGTATGTACAGTTTGACACGAAAGTGTTTTCTCATGGGAAAAAAAAGCATTTTTGTTCTTTGACATTAAAAAAAAACTACTAAATGTGATATTTTAAATTTTTTAAAAATTACATTATGTTTTTCAATTTGTTGTCTTACAAAAATAATTTTTTAAAAATTAAAAAAATATTAACATAGGCTTAAATAACAATAACAACATAAAAAATATTCAAATTCAACTGACACGAAAGTGTACACATGCTATTCTTTATTTCTTCTTACTGCTAAATTCACATTTACCGTTGTTTTCGGCGATTTCAATGTGCACAGCTGTGGCTAATGCTATGTTCTGAACAATTTCGTCATATTTTGTAAGAATCGATTCAATCTTCAAAAAATTTAAACCAATTAAGAAGGCCAGGGAAGCGATTGTCATTTGATATGATTCAATTTGTTTATTATAACCACTCCATAGGAAAATCAGTGGCGGAGATCGCAGAATTGTTTATAATATCGAAGAGGACCATTTACAATATTTTAAGCCGCGCAGAAAACAATGAAACACTGGAGCCAAAGCATTCAACTGGACGACCTCGGGCGTTAACAGATAGGGCCGAGCGTATTCTGGCCAGGAAAGTTAATGATAACCCAACAATTTCGACCAGAACGCTTGCCAGGGAACTGCAGGAAGAATGTCGTATTGACATATCCCGCGAAAGCTTCCGCAGAGCCCTAAAAAGGAACGAGTTTGCATCCCGAGTTGCGCGGAAAAAACCATTGTTGTCGTCGGATCATGAGAAAAGACTTCTAATATTCGCCAGGATGCATGTGGGACATGTGGATTCATATTGGGATTAAACCATATTTTGTGACGAGACGAAGATGATGTTGTATTACAACGATGGAGATTTTACGCACGAATCTAGTGTCCAGTGCCCGCAAGTTTGGATTTTTTAGGGATGGTAAACCAACATTTAGGTTTTACCAAGATAATGACCCCAAACACAAACATAGTCAGGTGCTGGCTTGTCTACAATTGTGCAAAGGTGTTGGATATTCCTGCACAAAGTCCCGACCTTAATCCCATAGAGAATCTGTGGGCTGATCTCAAAAAAAGGACAGCCAAGCGAGGTCCAACAAACAAAAGCGATTTGAATGGGAGAAGACACCGGTGAAATATGTCCAAAAACTAATCAATTCCATGAGTAGACGGTTGGAAGCGGTCATTGAAGCCAATGGGGGTCATACTAAATACTAATTTTGATACTTAATATAGTAAATAGTGCCTTATTTTGAATACTTTACTTATGTGCAAACACTTTCGTGTCAGTTGAATTTGAATATATTTTATGTTGTTAATGTTATTTAAGCCTATGTTAATAGTTTTTTAATTTTTTTAAAGTTATTTTTGTAAGACAACAAATTAAAAAACATAATGTAATTTTTTAAAAATTTGAAATATCACATTTAGTAGTTTTTTTTAATGTCAAAGAACAAAAATGCTATTTTTTCAGTGTTTAAAAAACTGCGAACAGTTTTCGAAGTTCTGTTATTGCTTGAACTGTTGCTGCGAGCATTTTCGACAGTCGCAGTCGCAGCAAAAGCAAAAACATTTTTTGATCAGCAGCGCAGCGCTTCGGGAATCGACAGCTTCGGCAGTTTTGAGAATGCTAGAACTGTTGCTGCGAGCATTTTCGACAGTCGCAGTCGCAGCAAAAGCAAAAAACAATTCTTGATCAGCAGCGCAGCGCTTCGAACTGCGTTCACTGGCGACAGTCGCAGTCGCAGCTAGAGAAAAACTGTCGACTGTCGACTGCCGAACAGCACAGCAGACAGCTTCCACAGTTTTTGCTTTGCTTTGTGCGTCATGAACGAAATGAATGAAAATTAACAACATTTTAATTATTTATTTATAATAGCGTTATTTATTTCTTTATTTTTGATTTGATTTTTCGTCGGTTGCCTTGAATCCGTCACAAATTGGGTTTAAAATATTTCGCATACTATCAGAATTTAACACATTGTACGGTATGGAGTCCTCCATAACGAGCCCAATGTATGACCTTATTAGTTTCTTTTTGTTCATTTCAATTTTAATTTTTTACAGTTACAAAAGTTACCAAAACAAAGCAAAGCAAAAACTGTGGAAGCTGTCTGCTGTGCTGTTCGGCAGTCGACAGATTTTCTCTAGCTGCGACTGCGACTGTCGCCAGTGAACGCAGTTCGAAGCGCTGCGCTGCTGATCAAGAATTGTTTTTTGCTTTTGCTGCGACTGTATGTATGTATGTCAAACTGTATGTATGTGTTCTCTGGTAAGTGTTAATAATCTTGCAATCATCAATACTTCCATTCGATTCTACAGTAAGTCGCACGATTTACATAGAAAAATAATGAATGAAGATACCTTATTTATATCAGATCCTTGTAGTTTAAGATACATCCAAAATAAGGTGCTGTTTAAATAAGTCAAAAATGTGTCAAGTTTTATTTGCTCCTCAATAGTCAACTTTGGACTATTATGCGCTTTTACAGCATAGGTCAAATCGTTTTCTAAATTATCGAGACTTATCGAAAAGTCTTTTAAGGTCTCAAATAGTTTATCGTCGTTAGGGTGTCCATAACAAATATTATTTACGTTTTCAAAGTTTGGAGTATTTATCCCTTCCATTATGTGAGACCACACGCAGAAGCCTTTTAATTCTCCAACAAAATACAACCAAACAATGTAACCAATAGTGATTACTCATTTTCATTACGATGTGTCAGCGTTAATAATAAAAGTTCTTCCGTCACGGTATCGTCAATGAGAATATGAAAATAAAGAACACTTTTTAATAAAGTGAATCTATTGTAAAAGAAATTCAAATATACTTACATACATATGCATGTACTTATGTATGTATGAAACAGCACCAAGCACACAACATTAGAGGGCTGCAGCACTCACAACATAGCAAAATAGAGTCCATTCGTATTTGCTCGGCTTAGTCGCTTGAGGCTCAAGCAGTGAAAAAATCTCACGTAAAGATTAGTGCGTTTCTAGCGCTCAAGCAACAAGTACGCATTTTGATATGAAGCATAACTACGTGCTTATTTTTTCTCATTCTCTCCCTCTATCTATGCTCTTTCCCTTTATAGAGTATACCGAACTCTTGAAAGGGTTGACATTATCCTAGCAATCTTCAATCAATCTTCAATTCTTCTTCGCTCATTAGAATATTGTGCCATTGCCACTCAACTCAATATGCGCATGCTTAATTCGAGTACGCTTTTTGGCGATCATGCAGCCCTCTGGTATACACATATGTATCTTTTTTAAAAGGTACATTACTTCTGTATATGTACATATATGCACAGGTGCAGGGATCGAAAATCAGGTACTAGGCAAACCCACGAAATAAAGTCATGTACTTGAATATAAACGCGATTCTGGAATTCGACCCAAAAATCGTTCGTTATGTAAGTTAAGTTTCGTGACGCCATATCACTCTAGCTATTCTGCTTGTTACTATTCGTTGTTATTTTAAACATCGTCTCATTTGGTTCACCTGCCAAATACGGACTGCCATTCGTCAGGCGGCGGCCTCTATTTTTCGCGATTACGAAGTCGACGTCGACGTCGTAGCAGCAGAGCGGCAGCGGCCGCTGTCGCTGCCGAGATATGTTGGGAAGCAGAGGCGTCAAGTTGGTGGTAGGGGAGAAGAGGAGGTGCTATGCATTGACTGGTGTTAACTTGTATATGTATGTAATTCGTGGTAGGCACACGCCATTGTTCATGTCTCATGCATACCTAATAATTTGTGAGCATCGCGTCCCCTGCGTACACACAATCAAATGTATGTACTCATGTATGTGTGTGTGCAGTTCACAAGATCTACAAAATGCAAATATTGGGATTTAAAATTTATACAGGCAGCAAGAGTTTCAGACACTGACAAATAAATGCTCATACATGTAGCAAGAAAGTGCAAGTGTGTGTGTGTGTGAGTATGCTCATTGCGGAAACCTTTTCGTCATGCGTATCAACGCTTTAATACCCTTCCCACAAATGCGCAATGCAATGAATATTAATATGATTAATTAAATTTTAAGTGGCAGGTAAATACATATACATACATATGTATGTATTTTGTAAAACTTTACAGATACGGTTTGTTACGGTTGAAGAAATGTTGTTATGACTACGTGCTGCCAAAAATATACATATACATATGTATGTATGTATGCATGTATTTAAATATTATTGGCAATGTGAAAGCATACGATAAAGATAATAATTGTCCCAATTTTATTAAATACTGAGCTTTTTGTAAAAATAAAGCCATTAAATCAAAGCAAAACAAGTAAGAAGACTCTAGTCGAGGCTGCTCAACTAGGAGATACCCTGAACCCTCTAATCTGATATTCTAATCAGTCTGCAATTCTTTTGGACACACATACATACACACGTACATATTAGAACGCGCTCTGCTTACTGCGCAGTAAGCAGCGACTGTGCGTGGGCTGCGCCGCGGTGTGGGCAACATTATAAAAATTTATTTGTTGAATAATTTAATTTCTAGACGTACAATCTTAATGCAACTTTCAGAGCGTAATCATAGGGTGAAAATGTATGTACATTCCAAAGCACAAATCTCTAGTACTTGAAATACGGCTTTTACAAAGGTGTGGGTAAAGGGGTGGATATAGGGGTGGGAGGTAAATTACAACAAAAATCGAAATTATAGAAAATACATATAAGTCTACATTTAAAATTTGCAAGCTCTAGCTCTAAAGGTGTAGGAGATATAATTAAATAACTAGCTTTCGATAAGGTGTTTGATCGATAATAAAATATCGGGAGTAGTTATCGATATATAAAGAAAAGAAAATTTCAAGTCTCCAGTTCTTATAACTTCTGAGATCGACGCGTTCATACATACGGACGGACGGACGGACAGACAGACGGACAGGGCCAAATCGACTCAGCTCGTCGCCCTGATCAAGAATATATATACTTTGTGGGGTCTGCCACGCCTCCTTCTGCCTGTTACATACTTTTAACAAAACCATTATACCCTGATTTCCCATTGAAAATGGGTTCAGGGCATAAAAAGTAAGAAGGCTCTAGTCGAGACTGCTCGACTAGGAGATACCCTGGACGCTCTAAACTGATATTCTTCACATTTTGCGCATCTTTTATGCACACATGCATACACACGCACGTCTAATCACGCGCTTTGCTCACTGCGCAGTTAGCAGCGACTGCGCTTGGGCTGCGTTGCTGTGTGAGCATTATTAAGAGAATTTAATTGTTGTTGTTGATGGACAATCTGTATGAAACTTTTAGGACGTGATAATATGGCTAAAATGTGTGTACATTCCAACGCACAAGTCTCTAGTACTTGAAATGCGTTTTTTACAAATTGGGGGCGAAGGGGGCGTGGTAAAAAATCTTTGTATTCATCAAACGTATATACACAGTAAATCTGAAGTCTCTAGGTGTTCTAAGTGCTCAAATTAGGCTGGAAAAACTAAATCAATTTTTCGATTATTTTCGATAATGAGTTATCCAAAAATATGATAAACTTGTATTGCGTATTGTCACTAACCAGAGAACACATAGACTAGACATCTAGAACAAATTTTTTCAACGACGAAAAAATGCCACACACTTGCAGTCCTTTGCTTGAGCATTTGTGAACCTATTTCAGGTTTGCTATCAAAATTCCGACAAGGAAAGTTCCGTTGTGATTAGCAGCAAGACGCTCGATCAAGAAGTTTCGGGTTCGACTCCAGAGCGCGCCAATTGTGTTTATCCTAAGTATTTTATTATCCCAAATGCATAATTGTATATAAATATAAATATATTACACTTTGTAACTAAATGAGCTTTTTATTTCATTTATATTTTTAAATATATCCAAATTGAAGCTTGGAACCACACTAAATGTGTGTTTTCATTAGTTTGGTTCAGGGTAGTATCTAATCGAGCACTCTCGACTAAGGCTGCAAACATAGTGCGCGCTGAGATGAAGACGAAAAACTATGCAGAACAAATTATATAAATTCGCTCGCTCGCAAGCATAGTGCGCGCTGAGACGATGACAAAGATAAAGACGAAACGCAAGCAATCAGCTTCAAACGCTGTTGTACTGATTTTGAAGACGAATCGCTTGCTATTTTACCGACCCAATTGAATCTTCATCAAATCAATATTCTAATAATGCTTTATCCTCAAATGAACCGAGCACTTTTGTTACATCAGGAAATATTATTACTTATATACACTGCGCGTCATCAGGTTAACGCCACCGTCCCCTTACACTCATTATACCCTGAACCCATTTTCAATGGGAAATCAGGGTATAATGGTTTTGTTGAAATGTATGTAACAGGCAGAAGGAGGCGTGGCAGACCCCACAAAGTATATATATTCTTGATCAGGGCGATGAGCTGAGTTGATTTGGCCCTGTCCGTCTGTCTGTCCGTCCGTCTGTCCGTCTGTCCGTATGTATGAACGCGTCGATTTCAGAAGATATAAGAGCTAGAGACTTCAAATTTTTTTACAATGTTCGTAATTACAGCGCGCATATCAAGTTTATCATTAAAAATCGATAACTCATCCCGATCTTTTTTATCGATAAAAAACCACATCGAAAACCAGTTATAAAATTATATCTTCTACACCTTTATTGCTAGAGTCTCCAAATTTTTAATGTATGCCTATGTGCAATTTATACAATTTCGGTTTTTGTAAAAATTTACCCCCCACCCTTAAATTCACCCCCTCACCCTCACTTTTGTAAAAAGCGTATTTCAAATACAAGAGACTTGTGCTTTGGCAATTACATGCATATCCATGTCATAATCATAATCTGAAAGTTTCTTGAAGATCGTACGTCCACAAAAAAGTTATTAAGCAATTAAGTTCTCATAGTAAGCGCTCACTGCCGCCCATGCGTGTTTATGCTTGTGTGTGTATATGTATGTAATTGTTTGTTTGTGTATGTGTGTGTGTGTGTGTGTATGTGTGTATGTATGTGTGTGTATGTATGCCTGTGTGTGCGTGCGTGCGTGCGTGTGTGTGTGGGTGTGCGTGTTTCTTGTGTAAGCTGAAAGACGCGAAAAATTATTGAAATAGCTATTACTCCAAGGGTTCAGGGGATCTCGTAGTCGAGTAGTCTCGACTAGAGCTTTCTTACTTGTTTTCTTTTACGTTTTTCTCTTTGCCTATTGTACGCAACTTCTTCATTTTTGTTTTGATTTCATTATCATCATATGAGATGTCTCTCATACCAAAAAAAAGCGCGAGTGACAACTCGTTATGTTTTATTTTCTATTCTTCTTTATTTTCGCAAAGAATGCTTGCACTTATTTTGCGTCATCAGATTAGCGCCCCCAAATGCAATTGTAATTATCTTGCTTATTTTGGCAATTACGCTCACCAAATTTTTTGTGAAGCTCAAAGTATTCAATATATTTATAGTATGGGTAAAGAAACAGTTTTATCTTTGGTTGAAAATCAAAGATTGAGGCATAGTTTAAATCTGGACTATGCTACCATAAAATTGCTGAAAAAACAGGAAAAACCAGAAAACTAATTGGCAATTTTTTTACAAATAGGGAAAACTATGGAACAAGTAAGAAAGCTCTAGTCGAGACTACTCGACTACGAGATCCCCTGAACCTTTGGAGTAATAGCTATTTCAATAATTTTTCGCGTCTTTCAGCTTACACAAGAAACACGC